GTTGAGCTTCTTGACCTGCTTGTAATGGCTGTAACACTGCTTGTGATCAGGATCCAGCTTCAGGCACTCGCGCACTTCACTGCAGATCAGAGGAGGAAGAAAAGTGAAAGTGGTTCCAACAGGCACGTTTGATGTCACTACATGTGCTTTATTGTAAACATACAAAAACAAAACGTACACACAACAGTCCAGCGGTAGCAAGTTTGGGTGAAGCTCAAGCTGATATGATTTAATTTCTGAAGCCACACTTTGGATTGTTTGTTTTTTTTCTTGTGACCCTCGTTCTGCTCTGGTTTCTGATTTCAGCTGTTGTGCTCCAGATGTTTTCTTATCAAATTTTTTTGCTTCACATCACAAAATTAATGTTTTTCCAAAAATGGTCTATATGTGATCTATTATTTGAGACAGCTTAGTGATTAGGAGGGTCTCTCATAGTGACACAGTTTTACCCTGGTACTTCTGGTCCCAATGTCTGATACCCATTTCATGTTGTTCTTACTTGAGGGACATCCCATGGTCTCCGAGGTTATAGTAGATGGTGCTGAGTTTGTAGAAAGCCTGGGTGTTGTCACTCTTTAACTTGGACGCAGCTTTAAGGTCGCTGATGGCCTTCCCCATCTCTCCCATTTGGATAAAACACTCGGCTCGCATCTCACGAGAAGTCACATCCCAAACGCAAGTCTGTCACAGGAGGACGGGAACTCTTACAAACTGCAGGACTGATTATTGCGACTATACGAATGCTTGCAGGAGAAATCAGGCAATGCTGACGAGGCACGTCGCTCACCTCGATGATTGTGTCAAGCTGGACAGCAGCTGTCATGTAATCCTGGCTGCTGAAGCTGCTGCGTGCCTGAGCCACCAGCCGCTGAATTTCATCCGACTTTGTCAGCTGACTCTGGGCTTCTCTCTCCTCTTTGTCGCCGGGGTTGGACTTCAACTGGAAGATTGCAAGGTCAGACATTATATCAGGTACTTATAGACGTGATTAAAGACGTCTATGAGGAGAAGAGCTGGAGTGACAAAACAAAATTAAGCGTGTGGAATATGAGATGGTATAACCATCGACTTCTTTATCGAATTTTGTTCTCTCCTTACACAATGTGTTCCAATATGAGCGCTTATATTTCTGAAGAGACCCCAATGCCAATTACAGCAGTGCTTACCATAGCTGACACCCATTACATCACAATCATCCCCATCAAAGAGGTCATCATATTCACAAGAGCAATCTCAGCTAATGACACATCCTTTATGAGGAGACCTGGCAACCCCATGAGTGTTTCCTGCTGGCTCAGCTTAAGAAAGAATGCAAAGCATAAATGTGAAGAATTACAGCCGGTGTGGTGGACTGCTGAAGCAGCAGGACAACATGCAGCTCTGGCCCAGATTCCTTGACATTATACGAGCAGAATATTGTCCATATAAAACTGCACAAGCCCAGATGCCAATAGGTCTCAACTGGGAATGTAATTCCTTGCTATCTTGAAACAGAAGGAATTAAAGCTGTTTGCGAGTGTAAAACTTTCTGGGCCTTGCACTGTGACTGTTTAACCTCTGACTGTTTAACTTAATAGTAGATAGAAGAAGGGCATTTGTGTCTTCTGGGGGTCTAACACGGTAAATCCAATGAAAAATGCATTAGCTTAATCCTTAATAAGCACCTACGAATGGTCCCTGACGGCCCGAATGAGAGCCAACTTAATTTAATTATTATCTGCAGCTTGTAAGATGGTTTATGGATGCAGGTAGCGCCTGTTTCATAGTGTATGATGTTTAAGGTTGAGTAAGCAATTCTAATCCAATAAACAAACATTTTAAATCAGTTGAAAGTGAAGGACTGTTCCATCACTGACAGATCATGTCTCTGAAACACTGACATCTCCTGGTGAATTTATGAAATCAAGACCTCTTTTCAGTCAGATCAAACTGGATGTTACTCACCACCTTCTTGAAGTCAGTCTCTGCTTCGTCGAGTCTCCCCTGCTTCAGAAGGAGGTTTCCTCTCTGAAGTCTTGCCTGTTAAAGGAGAGAGAGAGAGGACATGTTAGATAAGACTGCAAATACAATCTTGTCAACACAGCTGACTGGTTTCCCAGCACCATTATGTCTGGCTGGGGGAGAAATAAAACTGTAAAACAATTAATATTCACATACGCAGCAGCTGATTCCTAACTTATTCCTAAAGATTCCTAATTTGTGTAGATTTGTTTCTCACCCAATTCTAGTATTAACATCCCTCCTGAGAGATCTGATCACATGTGATGTACAAGTGGACGGCGTTAAGTATGTGTGTTCACACCTGGTATTAAAATGCGTCCTATCAATGCAAATTCACTGAAAAGCATAAAGATACTTTCGACTCATTGTGAAACTGTTTCAGAGGAAGTCAGCTGTGTAGGTTCTTCTCCACATGTGGAACAGGAGGCATTAGCGTTCACACGGTGAAAAGAATGTGGCCTCAAGCATCCCACACCCGCTCCAAATGTGGTGATAGTGATCGGATCTCAGGACACATTAGAGTGCGTTCAGACCTGTGCTGATCGCTCAGGACAGATGTTAACACCAGGTCTGAACTGGGTCACAGGTTATTTCTCTGTTGAGGGTGCAGCACGAAACAACTGTGCAACATTCTCTCGTGACAAATTGATGAGCAGCAGAAATGTACCGATGTGAAGTCCGGTTTGAGCTCAATGACTCTGCTCAAATCTGGGAGTGCCGACTTTGACTTCCCCATTGCTAGAAACACTGTCGCTCTCCTGTAGAAGGCCAAGTAGTTCTTGGGATCTCCGTCTGTCGAAACACAATGAAGACAAATGAGTGCAAAAGTTTTGCACAATAACTTCCTGTGTCACAAAAGATAAACACTGCTAACTCTGCATGTTGATGACACGTACCTACAGCAGCGTGGAAATGAGAGAGGGCATCAGCTAACTGTCCAGCGGCCAGCAGCTTCTTCCCCATCTCCATGTGATTGTCCACACTCCCATCCCGACCACATGTCACCCCTGAAACACACACACACACACACTACTGAGCATATGCTACTACCACTACTACTAATAACTGCATTTGTATAGCACTTATCTAAACAAAGTTACAAAGTGCTTCACAGGAAAAATAATACTACCACACAACAGTGACGTGCTCTCGTTTGACAGACAGTACTGACAGACCACTGACAGCATGTGGATCAATCCAACAGTCGCTGGACGTGACTTTGACATGTAGCTAGCTTGATGTTGTAAAGTTCACAACTCGTTAGCTAACACCTAAGGGTGACTGGCGTTAGCATGGAGGCAGCTGTGCTAGTTTCAGAATCTCCTGTGGGCTAACACGAACCGAACACTGTGACTAATAATAATAATCAGATAAGGTTTACCTCCAAATAAGTGATGAGCTAACTTAGCGTTAGCCAACACTGAAGTGGACTTGGCTCGGTGTTGACATTAGCATTAAAGCTAATAACTTGCTGTTTTCACTGAGCTAACACTCTCGCACTGTCAGCTGAAGTTACCATTAGTTTGTCTGGTGAAGTTCAGTTCAAGTGAACTCAGCCTCTTACCTTCGTATCTCATGTCAACCAGGACGAGCACATACGGGATGTAGGTGAGTATCTTGTGAGCGACATGCTCAATGGACACCATGGTTCAGTTTGTGTCTGACGAGTCCTCGTGCTCCTGATGTCCCACAGACACGAGGTGGGTTCAGCTGTGGTTGGTCTCGCTGAGTGTCCACAGTCCCATCACAGGACAGTCCGTCAGCATGGTCTCTGTCTCTGTCCCACTCAGGACAGCAACCCACCCGATCGTGGGGGACCCTGATTGGCTGGATGCGCCGGACAGCCCCGCCCACCACCGCTGGTTCAACTGAGAGGAGCCACGGCAGCAAAAAGAGAGAGAGGGAGGGAGGGAGAGAGAGGGAGGGAGAGAGAGAGAGGGGGGGAGGGAGGGAGAGACAGAGAGGGAGGGAGGGAGAGAGAGAGGGAGGGAGGGAGAGAAGGGGGGGGGAGACAAAGAGAGAGGGGGGAGAGGCAGAGAGGGAGGGAGAGAGAGAGGGGGGGGAGGGAGGGAGAGAGAGGGAGGGGGCGAGAGAGACAGAGAGAGAGGGAGAGACAAAGAGGGAGGGAGAGAGAGGGGGGAGAGGCAGAGAGGGGGGGCAGAGGGAGAGAGAGAGAGAGACAGAGAGAGATAGAGGGAGAGAGAGGGAGAGACAGAGAGGGAGGGAGAGAGGGGGGGAGACAGACAGAGAGGGGGGGCAAGAGAGACAGAGAGAAAGGGAGAGATAGAGAGGGAGAGGGGGGGAGACAGAGAGGGAGGGAGAGATGGTGATAGAGGGAGAGGAAGAGAAAGCAAGAGAGAGAGAGAGACAGTGGGGGGGGGGGCTATGTGTGTTAGTGTGAGTGTGTGTGTGTGTGTATGTCTATCTATTGTTATGAGGACCAATTTTGGTTCAATCCCATCATTGTGAGGACATTTTAGTTTGTCCCTCAAACTCAATGAGCTGTTTGAGGATCCACACTTGGTGTTAGAGTTAGAATTAGGTTTAAGTTTAGGCTTTTAGTTTGGATGGTTCAGGTTAGGGTTAGAGGCTAGGGAACGCATTATGTTAATGAGTGTCACCACAACTATAGAGAGACATGCATGTGTGTGTGTGTGAGAGAGAGAGAGAGAGAGAGAGAGAGAGAGAGAAAAGTTGGAGCATAGATAGATAGATAGATCAGGGAGCATTTCCACTTATGCGAAAACTCATGAAAATTCTCATGCTCACGTTAAACACCTTTCTTTTATGAATCAATATCAAAGTTTTGTTTTGTTGCACATTTATAAAAATATCTTACAATAACTGAATGTCTGACAGCATTCTGTGTTGAACAGTTTATTTCTACTCCTAAAAATGTATAACCATAAACAATGATTTTTAACAGAATAAATCTGAAACTATGTTATATATTATAAATGTCATCATACTGAACCATTATTCTACCTACAGAGAAAATTAGCATTACGCGTGGGAGAAAACAGATTTTCTACAAAGTGCACATTTTATAGTTCAGTTGAAAAATCACCTTGTGAAGATTCAAATGTTTATTTAGCCTCATGTCTTGTTATTGTGCTTTTTCTCCAATGAAAAATCAAATTGTCTGTTATGAACAGGACTACATTTGAAGGCTGCCATTGAAGCCTTGAAGTGTGGACTTACTAATATTAATTTACATTTGAAATGAATCCACTCATTGTTTTTACACATATGCGTTGCTTCCTGACGTCTTGGTGATACTGCTGAGCCCGGATGCATTACTCGATGTCGTCTTGGTGACGCTGCTGAGCCCAGAGATACTGGTGAGTCCGCTTTCACTGGTGTTCCTGGATTTCCTGCTCTCCCTCATCTCGCTGCGGGCCAAAGACGTTGGGGCCCTTTTTGTCGGGACGACCGTGTAGGCGTCAGGAAACTGGTAGGGAGGGTAGCGTTTGGAGCTGTGGAGAAGAAATCCAAAAGATGAATGGTTATGTTTGTTTGTTTTTCCTCTAGGTCTCACGGGTGGGTGGAACTAAGATTGGATCTTGCAGGACTATTTTACCTTGATCGACATCCTTCCCTCCCGGCAAAGATACTGTAAATAAGGCCTCCAACAACAAGTAAGGTGGAGCCTCCCCAGCCGACAAAGACGCCAACACCTATTTCAAACCTGGCATTGAAAAAACAGAAAAATCATTAAGTTACAGTTTTTCCCCTCATGAAATATTGTGATGCATGTAGATTAGTTTGTTGTTGTGAGAATCTATTGTACTTACTTCTGAGCTCTGTAATTTGGGTCTTGAAATTCTGATGTAATTTTGTTTCCATAATAAGAGAAAGCGACCATGGAACACATCCCTGGAACAATACATGTCCTTATTAGACATTTTATTGCACAGTGACTGTTTTTTTTAGAATAACCCTCAGGGGTAAAACTTTACCTCCGATAAAGTAGTTCATCCCCCCAGCAAAGGTCACTCTTGCATTAGCAATCTCCGATCCCCCAATCTTAGTGCACTTCATCCCCACTAAGACCAGGATTGATCCAAAAAAAGCCAGAATGATGGAGATGATGATGAGAGCTCGGCACATGTGAATGTCCCCTGTCCAGAAGCAACAGACACAATGTTGAGCATGCACTACAAACAGCTTGTAAAACTGCTGCTTTAAATCAATCATGGTTTTACTCACAGTTGAGTGCCAGCATGGATGGAATTCCCTTACAGTCAGATACTCCAGTGGAATCAGATATACAATCCTTCCACAGGTTGGAGAAATAATTGGAAGTGGTCAGGACGATGCTGTCCACCTCAGACCACGTCCAGATTTCTGTTGGCATCGTTGAACACACCAGGATCCAGCCGGACACACAGACGACAAAGCAGCATATCTCCATGTACATCACCACGGTCCTGTAACCCATGTCTGTATCGAAGTTTAACCGGAGAAGGGACAATTCACAGCCTCTGCACCGGCTCCTGAGCCCAAACTGTGGGACACGTGAGCATCACCATCACCCACACAGTACAAACAAGGTGTGTGTACATCATCACATATTTTGCCTTGGACTTTTTTCCCCTTGTGTTTTGTGAACGTCACTTTGATGATGTGTTTGTTGTTGGTACTCAGGAGCCAACATGGCTTCAGGTTTGTGCACCATTGAGGTGTGTGACATATGAATGGTTAAAGATCTGAACATCCCACAATACATATACACCAGATTTGTTTGTGTTATTATGAATTAAAGGGAGCTGTTTTTACATTTCAAGCTAAATGATATACAGTAGCCTACTATGGATAAATCTAAAAAACCCTGTCCGCAAAGGCTACTATAGCAATCATGTTGATGTAGAAGCAGTTGGAGGGAATTTCTGAGAGTTTATTCCAAGAAATATTGAAGGTCGTTTCCAGTGACACTATAGGATGTCTGTTCTACACTCACCACCGGCAGAATGAAACACTGCTCCAGCAATAAACATGTTCTCCTTTGTTATGACTCGCACATTATCCTTGCAACCCCCCCTCCGGGTTAAAGCTGAGAGGAACAGGAAGATTTTATGATGTGAGAAAATGCAAAATACTTTTTGAATGGGTTATTCAAAGGTGATCACACTGAGGACTAGATACAATCTAGTTGTTTTCACATGAATAATGAAAACAGTCATTTTGAACAGGTCTGCGATAAAAACTCTTAAAGCTTGTCTGGTTCTCTCAGTCTACAAAAAGTGTTTACTTTTAAGATTTTGAGTAGTGTAAATCAATGTCACATGCTATAACTACAATATTTCAGTGGGTCTTGTTTGTAGTTTTGTTACTTTTTTTTTTTACTATAATTGAGAAAGAATAAAAACAGATGGAGACATTACAAACTATGCATTTGGCCAAAACATTTTTCTCTTAAAAAAGAAAAGAAAAAAATGGAGGTAATCAGAAAAACTGTTAAATGAACCTAAATGTATTTAAGCTGTGTGTTTAATATTTTAAGGTATTTAAGACTTTTTAAGGCTTTAAAATGAAATGATTGAATGTTATATGTTTCTGTACCCTGTGGAAAAATCCTATTGTGTTATCCTTGTGTCACTGTATGCACCCATCCATGGTTTGTCATTCTTTCAATGCTATAAAACCATAAACTGTAAACTTTTGCCCTCTGAAGACATGCGGGTGTAATTCTAATGAGAAAGTATTGTATCATCTGTTTCAACCCTGATTCATTTATTTTATTCATATTCTCTGCCTAAGAAATTGAAGCTGCACATTATTTACAAAACATTTTTTATAGACTCAAAGAAGAGATGCAGCAGTTTGTTTAAACTTTAATGTTACTTATTACAAAATGTTAGTTGACAGTCAAATAATTTAAAACAAGAAATCTATGTCTGACACACTTTTGAATATTGTCATTACAGTTTATTAACAGTTAAAGATACAACCAACAAAATAAATGTCATATAAAAAAGTTATTGCAATATACCGCTACTAAAATAAAATACAAGTGGTCTGGAATCATTTGTCGTATAATTATAAGACACATCCTTTTTTTAAGTTTCATTTATTAATCTTTGTCTTACAGATGTAGTACATCTTTTCAGACCTACCAGTGGCTTCAACTAAAAGTCTTTTACATCCACATTCCTCAAACATACAGTACACATTCTTGTCAAAGTGCTGAATCCTGCAGGTTTGCAGGTTTACAGTGCTTGCCTGCCCTCTTGGGTACGAGGAGATATGAAAACGTTAGGCTGCATCTTTGTAGATAGAGATTTCCTGACTGTGACCGTGAAGAGAAAAAAACACAGACTCACAGTTTCTATACAAATCAAACACCCACAGTATATGACTCATCAAAATTGACAAACACAGCTGGTTATTTGCAAGAGGTGTCTTCTATATAATGTTAATATAGCATGTTTTGCTCAAAAAAACCTTTTGGCGAAGGAATTTTTGATGGAGAAACAGAGCATGCTGCCTCCAATGATGCAGAGGACTGAGCCTCCCCAGCCAATATATAGAGCAGCTCCCAGTTCATACCTTTCACACAGAGCAAAGCAGCATTGTCACTGAATTGCTTTTTTTAGTTTTTTTTGGATATACTGTATTGTCACAATATTTCTTACCTTTGTTCAAAAGACATTGGGTCAAAAAACTCTGATGTGATCTGATGTCCGTAAATGTAGAATGCTGACAGTGAGCAGAGAAGAAGTCAAAGTAGGAATAAAATGCAGTCACATAAATAATTCCACCAGCACACTTACTCGCCACTTAGAATGAAATAAACACCTGCAGGCGATCCGCCCATTGTTTCTTTCACTTCCTCCGATTTTTGGTGCATTTCATTCCAAACAGGACAAATATAGAACCAAAGACACTCAGACAGACAGTGACACAGACATAGTAGTAATAATAATAATAAAAACAATAACTATTACTGTTATCCTTATTATCATTTTTTTAATAATATTACTACTAATAAAAACTGCATTTCAATACCAGACTTAAAAAGTGAAGAACAACATTAAATCAATAAAAAGTAGAATATTAGTGGTAGAAGTACTGCAAGCATTGATGGAATTCCACCTGCAGTCACATACTCCAGGTGTCATGTCTCAGGTATTGGCCTGAAACAGCCTCCTCTCTGGATGAATATGGAAACACACACTAAATGAACGTATGTAACCACAAACACAGACACAGACGCAGACACACACACTCACACACACACACACACACAAACACACACTCAGAGGAGGTAAAACAGGGTTTGTGTACATCATCACATGTTTTGCTGTGTTTTGTGAAGGTCACTTTGAGGATGTGTTTGTTGTTGGTACCCAGGAGTCTGCCAGCACCGAAGCAGTTTTGTGTACCTTTTGGATGAAGTCGATATTTGGTATTGTTTTCATTTCATGCACAATGCAGAGTGATGAGAGTGACAGAAATGAAATACACTGAGGACACACTGGTGTAACAATACAAGTTCACCCATGAGACAGAAATAATTGTAAAGGCACATTGCCAGGTACAGATTTTAAATTTTTAATTACATATTAATGCATAGCTATTCCAGTAATGTTCCTAGTTGTAGTACATGTTGTTGATTAAATGACAATATAGTTAATGACTGCAGCGTAAACACAATTTATTTCATACAGAATGTGACCAGCTTCATGAAAACAAAACATCAACAAGTGAATAACACCACAAACTTGTACATATGGTGCTCAAAGAGAAGGGTGAAGGAGAATCCTCTACAATATGCTCATTGTCAGTCAGAATTGTTGTTTTCTGCTTGTCTCTTGGATCAAATATATAAAAACAAAAGATTGGAGATGCTAAACAAATGCATCTCTTTCTGAGATTTTCGTCGGTGTTGTCTGAGAGAGCTTTGAGATCTTGGAGCTGCTGGATCCCGAGCCGAGGTAAGATCCATATTGCAATGAGGGTCCGTAGTATCCAGTGTACGTTTGTCCTCTGGAGCGAGGGACCATGTATGTGCCTCCTTGATTGGCATAAAGCACTTTACTGTAAGACATCGAAAAATGCAGTGAGGCACTATGACCTTTGCAAGTACAGAAAAACAAAATAAATATAAATGGTTTCGATACCTTTCGGGGCAGATTACTCTGAAGACTGTCACAGCATAAAACATTGCACCCAACAGGATGAAGAAACATCCCACCAATCCAAGAAATATGGGAGGTCCTAGGTCATACCTGGAGTGCAAAACAAAGTCCTCTGAAGTTCAGAGTCAACACTTTTATGAATATATTGTGGAAGTGTAAAAAAGTACCGTAAGACTCCTGGTCCTACACTGGCAGCAAAGGTTGTTCTGGCGACTCTGTTGATGTACAAGCAGTAGCCAGCAACATCCGCCACACCTGTGTGCAGAGGTTTCGATGAAACCAAGAAACAATGAGGGTTAAATGTCTTTTGTCATTTACGAAGGCAAACACACGCATGCAATGATCTGTACTCACTTCCAGCCACATGGAATACTGCACCGGCGAAAACCATTTTGTCCTTGGATTTATCGGCTCCACCGATGAAAGTGCACTCCATCCCAAGAAAGCAAAGCACTACAGCAAAGAATCCAAACGTTAACCCGCACATCAGCAATCCTCGAACTCCCTGGACGAAGGCTGAGGAATACAGGAAGAGTTTGGTTTTGACAAAACACAAAAATGATTCGACAGAAAAGGTTCAGTTTCCAGTGTTCGCTTCCTGTCAGACTGTCAGAAATAAAATCTCTCCCTCCATCCATCCATCCATCCATCCATCCATCTATCCGTCCTTATCAGATGTCTGAACAACCTGGATATTGGAAGTCCACACAGACACGGACAGAGTCACAGAAATTACATATACGTATCAGCATAGAGAGCAGGAAAGAGAGATTCGATCACAGGAGGGACACATTAAGGACACATTTTATCACCAGGGTTGAACAGAAGAACTTTGAGCTGTCAACTTCTTAGGACAGATGTTAATACCAGTTCTGAACAGTGTAGAGCATGTTGTCAACTAAAACCCTTATTACCAGGCAAAGGGATCGTAACTTGAGTTATTAAGTGATTGTATAATTACCATAATGCAAATATTGTGTTCAACTATTGTTGCCTATTGTGATTTCGTCAAAGGCTTAAAAAATAACCCAACCTATTTCTCTACAATCATGACATTTTATTTTGTTAGATTAAAAAAGTCAATAATGTCAAATTATTAAGAAGATGTTTTTTTTTTCACACAAATACTGAAATGAAGAGAGATGGTAACCAAGTTAACCTACAGTCACATAACTCCTTATTAATTTAACTTTTCATTTCTAAGACTATAGTTTATTCTATAGTCACAGTCTCATTGTCTGTATTATCTTAGTGTCACTTTGAACACCCATGAGTGGTTGTGCCATTCTCTATCTGCTCATTTACAAAAACTGAGGCAGACACAGAAGCACTTATTCTGAGCACTTACGGGTGACGGTCCAGAGCACTGGGAAGTCTCTACAGTTGGTGACAGCGGTGGAATCAGTGAAACAATCCTTCCACAGGTTGGACCAGTACCAGGCCACTCTGATGATGAAGGAGCCTCCTTGTCCGCCCAACTGTGTGATCCTCCAGTAGTCCATGGCCATAGTGCACAGCACAAACACCCATCCCAGAGACGAAATCAAGAAACCAAGGATTTGTACCAGTCGTTTCTTCATGTCCGGATTCGTTCAGTCGAAGCAGGAAGCGTCCGCTGAGCTGGGTAATTACACTTTTTCATATAAGTGTAGTGCTGAAAGTGCAATAAGTGCAATCTCCTGCTCAGCGGTCAGCAGATGTAAGATGATGTAAGAGTGAGGTGTGGAGGGTATGACAGTGTGCCGTTAGTGTTGATGAGGGCGCTGTACCAGCGTGTGAGATGTTTACTGTAAACTCCCTGAAGTGTGCCACCTCCTTTCGATATTTCACATCACTTTCCGGGTTTAAGTCCCTTTTACAATGAGGTACGTGGCAATAACACATTTAATATGCATTCATAGTCAAAATAAGGCTTGCTCCCACTTATACATGTTTGATCTTTGTCTTCTACCACCTTTACACATTCAAGTAAAGAGACTCTGAAGGAGCATCTCAGTATAAAGTGTAAACAGTGACGAGGAGGTGAAACATCATCTGTTGACAAAACAAGTGAGACACAAAGTAAACTGCAGTATTTATTTTAATCAGTTTTATTTCTATTTATTTGTTGTTTTAAGGAAGTGAGACTGCTCATGCACATTTCTGTTCTTATAGAAACAATGGCAAGATGCCCGCCCCCCCTCTTTTTTTCAACCTTCAGCTTTACTTAATATAAAATCATACAAAAAACATTTTTGCATACAAAGGTCATTTACAGCTACAAGGTACAACCAACAAAGGAAATGTCTTACAAAACTGTGCTTTGGATCGTTTGCCGTATGAGACACGTTTGTGTGTTAGTAGGATTGTGTGAAAACTACTGAACGGATTTCTATATATTTTGGGACAGATCCAGATAATGGGGTGGATCCAGGTTGTTTTCTTCACAAATTTCCCAGAAAACAATATATATTATTTTATGAAAAAGTGCATATTCAAGAGATCTATGAGTGTGTGAAATACAGTGTAGCTTGATTCAATTCATGGGACTTGGCAGAGGTATGTGCTCTAATAAGTGCCATATTAATTAAAATGTATTTAATATACAGCAATATGTAGAACTGTTAAATACAGAAATGCAGAAACTTTATAGAAAATATCAATTCCCAGCAAATTGAAATGTCATATACCTTTAAACTCATACACCTGGAAGAAACATAAATGTAAAATAAACTTGTATCCTGGTGAGTCATAGATGAATATCACAAATGTTGCTGTTGGTAGACAATATATGACTCACCAGTGGCTTCAAATAATTGTGTTTTATATTCACATTCTTCAAACATATGCATTCTTATCAAAGTGCTGACTCCCAGGGGAGCTGCTGTAGTCTGGAGGCAGCCTCTGGTTTACAGAGTTTGTCTGCCCTCTCGGGTACGATGAGATATGAGAGTGTGAGGCTGCACCTTTGTAGATATAGTTTGCCTGTCTACGGCTGTGGAGAGAGAGTGAACACAGATTCATCTTCATAAATCAGACAGAATATATGACAGAACAAAAACCATATACTCAGGAGGTTATTTATAACACATATCCTCTGTAATATCTCATACAAACCTTTTGGTGAAGGAATCTGTGATGGAGAAACAGAAAATGCTTCCTCCAATGATACAGAGTACTGAACCTGCCCAGCCGATAAAGAGAGCCGCTCCCAGTTCGTACCTAGAGACAAAGAGAAATGAAGTAATGTCACTGAATTGGTTGAGTTATATTTAAACATTATGGATACACAGATACATGGCACTTACTTCTGTGCAATATACATTGGGTCAAAAAACTCTGATGTTATCCGATGGGCGTAAAGGGAACATGCCGACAACGAGCAGAGGCCTGAGACAAATATGAAAAAGTGAAATTAGACCAACAGAAAATGCTATAACACAAATAATTCCACAGGTCCACTATAATTACCACTAAGAATGAAATCAACTCCAGCAAAGCAGGCGATCTTGGCCTTGACTTTGTCGGTTCCTCCGATTTTGGTGCATTTCATTCCAACGAGGGCAAATATGGAACCGAAGAAACCCAGGCAGATGGCCGCAATCATCAGTCCCCTGCAGGCCTGGATGTAACCTGCAAAAATGAAACAGAGCTCAGTGCACGTGCCGTCTAAATCCCTCCCTGTGCTTGTGCTCCCTGGCGTCTCTCACTTCCGCACACAACAAGGTCAATGAGTCATTGACCTTCTGAACGATTTACACATTAAGCAAGACGTACAATTTGTCACGAGTGACCATAATTATCTTTAAGCACTCCTGCTAGTGTGGTGACTGCCCTGGTATTAAATTTCCCGTTCAGATGTGATGTTGAGGTAAATATTACCTCGGCGGTTTAACCTGCTGAAACTATTCAGCCGTGGTAAACTGCCTCAGGTTCCCAGTAAATCTCCTTCACATCTTTCAGGCTCAGAGAGCTGAGGCTAAACATTGACATATTTGGAAGTAAATGAGCCATTCCTCTGGGACTTGAATTCAACTTTAGGATTTATAAGGAGCTTCAGCTTCATTTTTTTCAAGGAAATTTTAGAGAATCAGGGATTGATACAACAGAAAATTGTAATGAAAGAAATATGACAATATGAGATATTACCAAGAGCTCTTCAGCTGGAAATAAACAGAAGCTTAAGTCAACACAATCGATCAAGACCATTATAAACTTAAAGAAACGAGTGCAGTCAAATGCAGGAAAAGTAAGCGATTAACAAACATGAAAAAGAGCTGACCATCCAGTGCAAGCAAGGAGGCAAAGTCTTTGCAGTTGGAGACTCCTGTTGAATCGGTGACACAGGTCTTCCACAGATTGGACCAGTAGGTAGCAGTGGTGATGACTGTTCCATCAAGTGAAGACACCTTCCAGTAGTCTGTTGGCAAGGTGGAGGACACCAGCACCCACCCTGAGGTGCTGAATACGAAGGCCACGATCTCCTGAAACATGCTGCTCATACCGCAGAGAAGAGTTCTCAGCTCAACCGAGGCCTCCGCTCCAGTCGCTGTTGGACTTAGAATAATCAATGGTTCCCTGGCTGGTAGAGCTTGTGGAAAATGTGGCTCGGCTCCGAACGAGCAAGTTCAATGGAGAGGCTGCGATTGATAGTTAATGTGTTGTGAAGAGTTGAATTCTGTAGGGAGGAGTTTGGCCTGAAACATCCACAAGTAGCCAATGGTCTACAACGACGTCCACCCCCTCACAGTACACGTGACACACAGAGAGATGATTGGGACTAAAGCAACACAAAGAAGTATTGTTGTGTTGACATCATGTCCAGTACTATTACAACAATTTGATTAATATGTGATTGTAAGACCATAATGGGAAAGTACTTTTTTTTTAAACTGTCAAGTACAAAAAATTCTACTAAAACAGGACAAAAGCAATTAACAAGGCATTCAGAATGCATACACT